GCTTTTATTATTAAATGTGATTAAGCAACATATATCTATATTAAAATAAGTTTTAGGCCACCAGCATTTTTCCTCTCACATTTGGAACAAACGTTGGAACATGATCCAAATCAATTTTGGATCATGTTTAAGATGATGAATTAGAAAAGTCTGTACTAATGACCCAGGTAAAGAAAGGAGTGTAGAGTCTGTATATGCAGGACACATTTTGCCTCTTAAGCTAAGAAATTATTACTGGCTATTGTCTCCAAATGGATTTTTTTTCATGCAGCATCCAAGCTGTCCCCATTACAAAATACTGTTCTACTGTTGTAATATTGTATATAGTGCAAACATCTGGAATTGGAATGGGAGATATAGTAAATGACTGAGCAAGTGAGAATCCTGGGCCCGAGTGAGTTGAAGGTATTTGTCTCATTGTTAGGCGGTAACTTGTGAAATATCTGGAAAAGTTCCAGAAAGTATTGCTGTTGATGAACAACATACTCTAGAAAACCCGCATAAAGCTTGAGAAATAAATGTATCACTGGACTGAGAGGAACCAGGCTCTGAAATGGAATGAGGTTTTTATTTTTTTTGTATATCCTTTACCTTCAGGAAGTATGGTCTTGTTGGATTGAACTTCTACACTATCTGGACCTAGAAGCAGCTTGGCTGAATACTTTGGAGGAGAACATGAAAACTATTGAGCACTTGCCAGAGAAAGTAGATGCTGTCAGTGAAGCCCTTGAGGTATAAAGGATAGTCTGTAAAAGTAGTTTATGTCTAGGAAGCAAATGAACTTAGGTTTTTTAATTGAAGAGGTATTTTCCTCCTACATTTAAATACAGTGAAAATTCCTCATGTCTCATTTTATAATATTGAAGCAATTGTAGAAGTGGACAGAGTTTAGATTTGTTGGAGTTTTCTTTTTTATTTTGTTTTGCTTTAACTCGAGATGCACCAAGAAAGGCCATCTGTAAAAATCTTACGTATTTGAGCTAAAAGAAATGGGGGTGTCTGCAGTGATGCCATCAGAGATCCAAAAAAGGCAAGATGCCAGATGCAGCGTCCCAGTGTGGGCCCCACTCCTTTTGAATGTGTTTTGTGCCTGCCATCTTTTCTTCTTTTCACCCTCACACCCCTAGTGGACACCTCTGGGTGTCTGAACATATTTTGAAACATTAATATTTTTAGCTGCACTGTTGTTAACCACAAAGACAAACTTTATTGATCTGCTCTATAACACACAGTGATCTTCTAATATATTCCACCTTTGTTCTGCTAACCACTTTCCTTGTTTCTTTGAAAAGTGACAGTTAAGTACATGAATTATTTTTATTTAATGGTATAGTATCTTTTGTCTTGGTTTTTCTAAGGACACTTTAAATCTTGGCAATTATATCGGCTAACTGGAGTTCCTTTAACTTGCTTTGATTGGTGCACTAATTGGTATAAAATAAACTCGGGTCTGCTATTATTCTTACAGTAGTTCAGTGACATTTAGATCAGGCTACTGCAATATGTTCTACATAGATCTCTCTTTGTAGGTGGTTCAGAAACTGTACTTAGAATACATTAGCCAGGCAACTGTTATGTGTGTCAGTAGAGTGATGTGATATTATCTATAATTAATTGAAGGGGTTCCTAGTATAGTATATTCCTGCACTTACTTCAGAGTGAGAGTTTTTCTTAAATGTTCCATGTCCAGGAAATTTCAGGATGCACTTGTTCTTTGAACCTCTGTATATAGTATGATCAGCTCAAACGGAACTGAGGCCAGGGATGCCAAAGTTCAGATGACTGCTAGATGGCAGCAAAGAGGTACATACAACTCTTTGTGCTTCCATCCAATGGTCCCCTGGACTTTTGCAGGCCAGTCCTGGCAACCCTAACCAAAGGAGGCCCTACGTCTGCTTCCATCATACCTGGAGATTCCACAAACAGCACTGGCTTCTGCTGTAGAATGCATTCCCATTGCTGATGCTTTGCTCCTTCCTTTTTTTTCCTCTGCAGGCAATTTTTTTTTTTAAAAAACCCTTTTTTCCCACCTGCGTTCAGGTTTGATTTTATTTTCTCTTGCTCTTTTTGTTTCGATAGAAGTCTTGAATTGTTTTTGTGGGTTCCGCTGTTTTGATTTATTTTTCTGTAATTTCCATAACTATTTTGGGGTGATAAGATGATTTATATGTTTCATTGTTCTTTTAATGGCAATGTTGATAATAATAAGTCCTCAGACACTGTAAGTATGTTTGTTTTTTTTCCAAATGATTTTTTTTTTCAAATTCTAAAATGTCAGGGTGCTATGTTCAGTATGTTAGAAAATGAGTGCCTACATTTTGGTTTAATTATTTTCTCATTAGTCACTGGAATCCATTCTGCGCCATCCAACTGATAATCGGACTCAAATTCGAGAGCTTGGTCAGACGTTGATAGATGGAGGCATCCTTGATGAAATCATCAGTGAAAAATTGGAAGTTTTCAATGCCCGTTATGAGGAATTAAGTCATGTGGTATGACAAGTAACTTTGGTAGAATGAATCATTTGTTTTCACTGTTGTCAGCATCCACAATGTACAATTTTGAATGAAGCTTAAAGTGGTTATCACTAGCTTACAGAAATAATGGCTGCCCAAGGTCAGATGTGCATAATGATGGAAACAGTGCATAAATCTTGTATTATGGTCTGTCAGAAGTTTGATAACCTCAGGACACATACCGTAAACTGGATGGCTGAGTGAATTCTTGACTGAAAGTGTACAGAGCCAGATTCAGCTTAGTGGACTCCATGTTTTTGTATAGGTGAGAAGCAAAATGATAATGCCAAGTCATCGAGTTACATTGTCCATTCCTCAAACAAACAAAAAAGAAAAAAATTAACAGTTTGGAAATGCAATTTTAAATAATGATTACTATAATTAAGGTAACTGATCTCTCCCAACAAAGTCCTGTCCCATAAAAATGTGTAAAATGACTGAACGTCTGATTTTATATTTTAAAAAGGATTAAAGTATAATAAGCAGATTTCTAAGAGTGCTCTCAAAATTACAAAATAAGGAATAAAGCCATAGTAGTTTTAAAACAACAGTTTACCTGCTGCCTTGGAATGAGGGCAACATTTTGACCCTGGAAGATACAGGACCAGAGGATCTTGCCAAGGGACAAAGAGCTGAACTGATAGTCATTTTGAAACTGTTGTTCTGTATGGAGATTGTTAGATCCCATTGTGATTTCAACTGTATTAATATTTCCTCTGGAAACTTCCATATGTTTTGATAACAGAAGTTAATAACTGAAGTCAGTGCTTCTATATGAAGTTGCCATGCTAGGAATCTCTGAATTTCAGCAGGTATCCCATGACCATAAGAAAGTAATATTTGATTGCCCTGTTGACAACCAGAAAATAACAACGTGGTGTATGCAACTCTGATTTACTATTTTCATATTTATATTTAGGTTTATGTATATAAGTTCTAAAGTTTTCATGCAACTTATTCCTTTGTCTCCCCTTAGGCCGTCAGCAGGCAGATTTCTTTGGAGCAACAACTTCAGATGATGCGGGAAACTGAGCACATGTTGCAGGTTCTTCAGGAAAGCTTGAAGGATTTGGATAGGCAGTTAACATCCTATTTGACCAATAGAATAGATGCCTTCCAAATGCCTCAAGAGGCACAGGTATTTTCAATTTAAAAGAAAAAGAAAAAAAACTTTTGTAACATGGTTTTTGAGTTGTAGGATAATGAAAGGAATGCTTGCTCTATGAAGAGATATCTGATGGTGTGACAGTGCACTGGAGGACCTTCAATAATAGATCTCATTACTTTGAAATAAACAGTCTATCACAGAAATCAGCATGAGTGATGTGGATGTTGTAGCCTTTATAATAGACTTCAGTCGTATGATTTATTGGTAGTCAGACTGCTATGTCCTGTTTTCCCCCTCTTCTATAATGAATGACTTGGCAGAAAATCCAAGCTGAGATTGCTGCTCATGAGTCCACCTTGGAAGAGCTTAAAAAGAATGTCTATTCTTTGATGCCACCTTCACCAGAGTGCCGATCTTCTCGTGGTGGGACTCATTTGGATGTCTTGCAGGTAAATATTGAAAAGAATTGCCATTTTCATCTTTGTTTTGATGACTGAGATCAAGCACTAAGGCATAATTAAAAAGAAAAATAACCCTAGGTCACGTGTTTTTTAAAAAATTGAGACTTGGTAATTAATTGATATAATGGAATTTTAAATTGATCTTGGTTTGAATATGTTTGTTTCGTTGGGAAAACTGCAGAAAGAAGAGTTCCCTCCTACTGCTGAGAAATTTATAATGCTTTGAATAATTTCCAGACTTATAGTAGGCATTTTTATGGGAACTATAATTCCCATAAAATAAATTGTACTTGGTACATGCCATTAGTCAGCAACATGTTCAGGTGGCAGATATATATAAAATGTTTCACATCTCATAAATTTGCATGCAAGCATGTAATTTGGCTGTCTCACAAGTTTTCTGACATTTTGAATTATATTTTTAAAATTTTGGAAACAGTGACACTATCTAGGAGCATAGCAGGTGCCATGTTGCTCACATCCATGCACATAGTAGAATCCTGTGTCATTCATTAAATTGTATGACAATAACTGAAAGTCCCCATCACTGCTTTCATCTTGATGACAATGATGTTATTAACAATAACACAATAACAATAATAATATAAAGTTATAATAAGTAGCCTTAGTTTCCACTCAGTGTGGGAAATGGGGAGAAGGCAAGGATAAAGTGGGAGAGAATTTGCCATTGTTTCAAGAACAGGACTTAATATGTTAGAGAAGCAGTGTCATGCAGGCATTCTGGAAACTAGTTCCAGGCATTCGAAGACCAAGAAAAGCATTTGGTAGAGCAAGAGAAACATTCAGGTAAGGATAGTAGAACTCGCAGAATCAAAGATCTTAATGTGAATCAAGATTTTTCCCACTGTGTTAATTAGTTTCCCAGTGTTAGAATTGTTGTGTTACTTTCAAGTGTAATTTTGTGAATTGAAACTGTGACAATTTTACATAGCATAAAGTTTAATGTGTTTGTCACTTTTATTCTTCAGTTTCATTTTCTCCAGCTTCACTACTTACATTTGTCCTCTTTTTGACTCCCACAGGCATAAATTTGTAAAAGTAGGATAACCCTTCATACTTCTGAAGGTTCCTAGTTGTGAAAAATAAGCTATAATAACTTTTCTTACTCCCTTGGGCAATTGTTAAGCATTTTAATAATAATTAGCATCCTTTGCCCAATGTCTTTGTACAAAATGTGAGAGAGAGAGAGAGAGAGGGAGGGAGGGGGGGAGGGAGGACTTGAAGAATCTGTGTCTGTCCAACAGAATGGATATTAGCATAACAAATGGGTAGGGAAAGTGTGTGAAGAGAAGATGCTACCAATATCATGGCATTTGATTAGCTAGCCTGAAGTAGCCTCTGGTGGCTCTAGAAAACTAAGTATAGGTGCCAGATGAGTCCCCTATAGGTGTAAAGAGAAGGAAGGGGAAAGTAGCTATTTCAAAGCACAGATTGTGAAGAGTAAGATCCAAACAGAGGCATTTAGATTTTCGTGGTAGGAAGATCAGCTTTGGTTTTGTGAGAAAGGTTCAGTGGACCATAGCAAATAGAAACCAGGTAGAAGGGTTGAGTTTGGAGTTGATGAAGAATTAAGTGGCACACTTCATAGCATTGATTTTGAAAGGTAGAAGGAAAAAAAGGCAGTACTAATTGAAGATGAAGAATCCATTCAAGCAAGAAGATTTTTGATACTCTGGGAGTTATTATAAATTCAGGACATGAGATACTGTTTAAGTCCCATTTTGTGAGTTCTCTGATTAGATAGCTAGAGGGAGAAGTGATTAGTTCATGGTGTTACATGCCTGATTTTGTGCTTTGGGGCTGACAGAAGTGAAGAAAATTTGGAAAACACTGTGCCTTTGAAAGTCCCCAAATGTGGACCAAGACAAGGCTTCTTGGTGGCTTTTTTTGTTTTGTTTTTGAGGGGATGACTGTCATGTTTAAGTGGAAAAGAGAAGGATCTCAAATTTAGAGAGAAGTTATTTCATAGGTTAGAGAAGAGGGATAATGTTGGGAAGTATGGTTACAAGGAGAGAAGTCCAGGGGCATAATGATGTAAAAAAGGAAGAAAGAGATGCTGAACTAGAAAGGTAAGATAGAAATTAAATAAGAAGATCAGTTAATAGAAAGATTTTTTTACTCTGTGTGTGTGAATGTGTCAAAATCAGAAATGTTTGCTTTCTTACATAAACAGAGAAAACTCCGGGAGGTATCCACAAAGTATCAGCTGTTCCAGAAACCAGCGAATTTTGAGCAACGTATGCTGGATTGTAAACGAGTTCTGGATAGTGTAAAGGTTGAACTCCATATCTTGGATGTGAAGGATATTGATCCAGATATCATTCAATTTCACTTTGATAAGTGCATGGTAATATAAAGCTATGACTGAAGTTTCTTAATTTCTGTCTATGAAACTTTGTTTGCTTCTTTACCTCCATGGCAGTGAACATTCCTGCAGCCTGACAGTCAATATTCACAGCAGTGGCAGATAGCTTGGATGAAAGGAAGACTTTTTTATTTATGCACTGAGATAAAAGTATCCAAAGAATGTGGTTTTCACTCATATTATCAGAGTAGTGCATGCCCTAAGAGCAAGATTTTATTCTTCATTTTAATGGCACCTGGAGACAAGGTTGATGTAGAGTCTTATCAGTACAGAAAACTAGCAGACTCATTGTCCATTTAGCCTAGCAGTGACTGTCCAAGATTTCAGGCATGATTTTTTCAAACCTGTCTGGACGTTTCTGTATTGCAAACACGAACTCCCTCATTAAACTGTGATCAGTTTAAGTCAGAAAGAAATGAGCCAAGTCTTAGCAGTGGGGTCAAAGTAATGTTGAAGTATTTCATTGCACTTCAGCTGTATTCAGACATCATTACCAGTCTTTGATTATGGTGGAAATTTGAGCAGTCTTCCCCCCCCCCTTTCCCTTCTCTTTTGCCCCTAAGCTGCCATGCTATCTACCATTCTTTCTTCGTGGTAACCTCTGTTTGCTATGATGTCCATGGCATTTTTTTTGGTTTATTTTCTAAATAGAAACCATTGTTCAGAATGGATTTCTGACTATTTTGAATCTAGCTCTAGTTAATGCTTGTCATAACTTACCATGGCAAACTGGGCACCAAATGGAATGTGGATTTAGTATGCATAAGGGGATTGAAGAAGGAAGTGCTTGTGAGCAAGCACCATCAGACATTAACATGTCTCTTGCCCTATAAAGGCAATAATTGAGAAGAATGATAGTGTGATTAAATTCTGATGGTTACTGAAAAGTAAAATTAAACCCAGTAAGGTGAAGTGTTAATAAAAATATATGGTATCCTGGCTCTAGAAACTCTATAAGACCCTAAGTGAAGTAAAGCTTGAAGTGGAGACGGTGATCAAAACGGGAAGGCAGATTGTACAGAAACAACAGACAGACAACCCCAAAAGCATGGATGAACAACTCACAGCGCTGAAATTTCTTTATAATGATTTGGGAGCACAGGTGAGTCTTTCGTATGTACAGTTTTGTTTCACTGTGTAAAACCCACTTGAGCTGAATTTCAACTATTTAATTAAATATTATGTGAGCTCCACTGGCTTTGGATTATTTACTGTTGCCAAATTAAATCTGTGATGAGAATCTATAATGTTTTAAATCAGAGATGGAAATATGTGGCTTTCCACACCAATTCTATTAGCAGGTAGTTGTGGTTGATGAGAGATGTAGTCCAGGCTTATTGAGAGAGTCACTCCGCTCTAAGCTGTTTTGAGATTTGATAAAATAAAAAGCATATATACTGTATTTTTGGAAAATAAAATATAATAAATGATGTAAGGGGTGGTTTCTTCCGTCTTTTCCTGCATGATTCCATCTGTCCTGTAGAATTGTCATTGAATGCTTTTTCCTTCTCCATTTGCCTTCAGAGATTTGGTTGATTGATGAGGACGGATTCTCCTCAGGGGCAAGTAGCCATAGCCAAAATAGAGGATGTGGGATGATGATGATGATGATATTGATATTGAATATGTTTTCTTAATTCTTATTCTCTGTTCTTGAAGTGGTGCTCTTTCTTTTACATGCTTGTTTAAAAAACAGGTCACAGAAGGGAAACAAGATCTAGAACAAGCATTGCAGCTCTCGTGCAAATTCAAGGAAGTCTCCTTCTCCTTGTCCAAATGGTTAGAGGTGACAGAAGCCGAACTGGTGCACAAGTCCACTTCAGAAAGTTTGCTTTCTGATCTGGACACTGAGATTGCTTGGGCTAAGGTAAGCAGGCTGCACCTTAGCCTTCTTTGTTTCCATCCCATCTTGATACTTACTGTTGTACGTATTGTTGTTATCATTGTTATTATTGAACAAAATATCCTTTCTGTTTTGTCTTTGAAGCAGTTGTGGACAAAAATTAACATTTTTATTTTGGAGCCCAACCCCAAACCTTAAGTATTTATTCAATAAATAATATTTGAATCCAGCAGATGATAGTGGATTCAATGATTTCAAATCCTGTAGAATTGGCCCTGAAATTCTGTCTCTCTGTTTCACTCATCGGCCCCCACTTGTCTCTGGTTTTGCTTCTGGTTTTATGGGGAAACTATCTGCAACTATATTGCATCCAAACATGTCATTTTGAATATTGCAGGGAATTCCAGACTTCCTGCAAGTAATTTAGCTTTATCTTCTTTTCTGTTCCTCTTGTTATAGGGAAAAAATATTCTATTGTATGTCAATTTTTTTTTAAGAAAGCAATTCTATAATATGCATGCTACTCATTTAATTGCTGCTCGTTGTGCATTTATTATATTAAGACTTTAGAAGAAATGGATGTAAGTTTTACAGCAGATTGTTGGAACAGGTCTAATAGTGCGGATCATGATGAGGAGAATCTTTGGCATTTCTTCCTCTATCTCAGGTTCAAAAATCATTATATTTGTACCTGATTATTTGGGTTTCTGTTGTTTATTCCTCTGCTTTTGTGAACCATGGTAGAGGTAGTAAGGTTAGAGAGAGCTTTTGAAGATGTTTGCATGGATCTAGATGAGATTTAATTACTAACAAGTACTGAAGGATCAGCAGCTAGATGTGAAGCCACTCTGAGAGTAAAGGAGAGAATTTCACAAAGGGTTAGTTGCAATTCAAGCAGCTGAATATTTGTGTTCTGTTACATCTTGAGAATTTATGGGCAAGGATAAAAAGTGCTAATCTGTTTCCATTTTAAAAATGTTCTAGCTTAAAAGAGTACTTGAAACCCATTTAAAATTCAACCAGGTAATTTATTATATGATATTTTATTTATTTATATTTCAAATTTGGTCACCGCCCATCTCACTAGGAAGCGAATCTGGGCGGTTTACATAAAAACAATAAATATTAATTAAAATACAGTAAAATTATATGATATACAGACTATATGGTAAATCCTTATGTATTAAGCTATGAACACATAGTTTTTAGGCATATCCTATCTCCAACTATGTTTTCCAGAGTTGATGTGGATGATTTAGCACCTTTAAATAAGCAGGTAGGAGCTCCTAGAAACTTAGTCTGATCTTAAGAATGTTAGGTTTCTGGTTAGTATTTGCATGGGAAGCTACTATGGCTATAGAGTAGACTGAGAACTAGAAACACATCTTGGTGGAAGGATATAGCAAACCACTTATCTGTTATGGCTCAGAAACAACAAAGAGGTCACTAGAGGCTGAGCTCAACTCAAGAGAGACTTCACTCACTTGTTTGGTCATTTGTAGATATTTTGAAACTTTTTGCTATTTCAAACAGCTGAATTCTACCAACAGAATTAAAAAGTTATCAGATCCAAGGCTCTGTACTTCTTTTTCTATTAATGTAATGCAGCTGTTGGCTTTTTGAATGTAATTGCTTGTTTTAATTATTGATTGCTGTTTTAAAAATGTCATGGTTAGTCAGTTCTTTGACTAATTGAGTGCAAAATGTCATTAGCCTGCTAGGAGGAGGTTTGTGCGCCTGGAACTAATGTTGAATGTGAAACTATATAATAATACTGTGTATTGTTTCTTCAGAACAAAGAACATGCATGAATTAGTAGTTGTATAATCCAAAGTGAAAAAAGGTACCAAGTGGCTGCCCATTAAAATAGGAAGTTGTAGGAATCCTTCTGCGTGTTATTCCTACAAGGAGAATTATATCCTGGGAAAAATGTGTATACTTACCGTAAAAAATATGCATGTGAGAAGAAGCTTGGGGGTTCTTGAAAAGAACTCTAGAATTAAATGGATTTGATATTATTAAACATTCTTGAATGCCACGTTTATGTAATTCCTTCCTTCTTTTTGGATTGGGATTGGAAACCTCTGATGATTATTAAGCAGCAAACCATAGCTGTCCATGTAGTCCAAATCTGATAGAAATAATATTCTTGGAATACATACTTTGTCCTCAAAGCAGTATTTCAGGCTATAGCATGATCTTGGTTTACAGGAATGTGATAGTTTCAAATCATAATTGGCTGGACATTTATTTGCTGTTAACTAGAACTGGAAATTCTAATTGTAGCAAATAACAGAGGGGGAAGCAAAAAGACTATATGAGCAAAAGATTTGTAAGACTAAATCATTGTTTACTGTTGCATTAGAATACTCATTGCATAAATCCTTCTCAGTTAAAATAAGTATAATTTTAAAAAGTGAGACTGCTTTATTAGTAAATAGCTACTTAAACTATTATAAGAACATTTAAGTTATAGTGAAAAATATAAAAAATGATTTTTCCAGTTTATGAAAAATATATATCCCCTCAAAAGAAATCTTAATGATTCCCCTTGAAAGATATGTAGTTCCCCAAATTTTTTAAAAAAAGCTTTATGAAGTAAGGAATGCACTTTATTATCTTTATTATCAGATTGCATAATAACTTCAGTTTGTATTATTATGACACATCATAATAGATTTTGCAAAATCAATTGCAGGATGTAATTAAAACAAATAGAGAATTTAAAAAATAATCTTACCTGTTACTGAGGTGTTGTTTTAATATTACCATACTTTTAAGCAAGCTTATATTTTTACAGAAGTAAGGATTTAAAAGGTAAGGTCCCTTTTTTTCATGGAATAGAATTAAGCTAGTGCTAATATTTCTTTGAAGATTTTCTGTTCTGTGGCTGCTAAGACACTCCTGGGTTTTAGAAGATCCATTGCTTTGGATTCCTTTGGGCATCATATATCAACTTGCTCATTACAGTTTTATGTCACTAAGTGGGCAAACTGGTCAAGATAGAAACCAAGCCATTGATATCATTTTTGGTTCTGCCACCTTGAGAAATTTTATTCTGTTCCATTAATAGTTCCTGTTGCCTTCTAGAATGTGCTGAGAGAATTGGAGAGGAAGAAAGTCGATTTGAACAATGTCACAGAAAGCAGTGCTGCCCTGCAGGCCTTAGTGGATGGAAGTGAGGCTCCTCTGGAGGAAAAACTCTGTGTTCTTAATGCTGGGTGGAGTAGAGTCCGAACCTGGACAGAAGATTGGTGCAATACACTTCTGGTAAGCTGACACTGCAAATGGTAAATTTGGATGTCTGTAGACTTTAGAATCAGTTATCTGTGTATAATTTAATAGGGTAATATGCACTGATGATGGTCGTCTTACTCTAGAAGTAGGAAGTGATTAAAAATGTCAAATTTCCTGTAAGGTCAACTGAACACCTCTCAGATATGTTAAATTTGAATGTCCCATGGCCAGGCCATCTGGAACGATACCTCTGGAATGTATTTAGTTGGGGAAGGCTGACCTATTAAATGGAAAAATGTGTCAGACGACAAAATTTGATAGCTTTTCAAGAAACAGTAAATGTATTGAACAATTAGATAGCTTTGCTTCTTACTCCATGTTCAAGAAGTAGCAAAACCATTGCTTTGAAGCATTAGCCCAGTAATAAATACCTTAAAAGTAATTATTACATAAGAGGACTCATGGAAATATTCTTTGAAGTTTATTAAAATAAACTGTATTCATTATCTGTGCAATCATTATTCATATTAAGTTGCTTTTACCAGTCTTAAAAACTGAAATGGGTGTAATGGGCTGTGAGAATAACCTTGAGGAAAAGCTGCAGCCAAGGCAACTCTTAGATAAGAGAAATCGGAGCCCAGAGCTGAAATGGAATTTGAGAAAATGTCTCAGACTTGATCCTCCCTAGTTCTCTTTAGGATCAAGGCGGGGGGGGGGGGGGAGGCACTTTCAGAGTTGCAAGATTCTGTTACTGTAACCTTATAATCAAAGTAGTTTTAGTATTTATGACTTTGGAGTTCAAGTTTGGTCTACCTGGAAGGGTTGACACCAGTTTTGCAACTCTGAATGTGCCTCCCCTTCTCAGATTTCTCTTACCTTACCTTGCCTTAGTTATTCTCTTTAAGTTCAACCTGCTCTACAAAGGTTTTTGTTGTAAAAAAAATTGCTGGAGGGAATACTCTGTATGCTATCTTCAGCTTTGGGAGGAAAATGAGATATAAATTTAATGACTAAATTATAATAAATAAGCAACAAATTATTCATAGATCTTGGCACTAAGGTAGCTGAAAAACAAATGAAAGTGATGTTGACTGACTGCTGTGAATGTTTTCTGTTAAAATAACTGTACTTTATTGACATTTAAGGTATGTTTTCACTGATTTATCTTCATCTTTCCTTTACAGAACCACCAAAGTCAACTGGAGATTTTTGATGAGAATGTTGCCCACATAAGCACTTGGCTATACCAAGCTGAAGCTCTGTTGGATGAGATTGAGAAAAAGCCAGCCAACAAGAAAGAGGAGACAGTGAAGGTAGCAAAATTGAATTTTTACTGATGTGGCTTAGACAGCATATTTTTGGATCCAAATGAAAGTCTGCCAGTTTTTGAGGTTGATTTCTGCCTTGCTTCTCTTCCTCCCTTTTTTATCCTACTGTGATCTAAACAATAAACCTGTGGGGTTGATTTTTTTGTTTGTTTGTTTTCATTCATAGCGTCTAACATCAGAATTGGATGATGTTAGTCTCAGAGTTGATAATGTGCGTGACCAAGCTGTTATGCTGATGAACAGTCGTGGTGTATCATGTCATGAGCTTGTAGAACCCAAACTGGCTGAACTGAATAGGAACTTTGAAAAGGTATCACAACACATCAGAAGTGCTAAGGTGAGTATAGAAGACTTCCTGGTCCCAAAGCATATCTACTGGTCTATTTTTACATTTATATTGCTGATTTTTATTTCTCTTAACATATCTGTGAAATGCACGCTACTGCATTATATTTTGTCGAAGGGAACCGCTTTCTAATATTTCATTGGTCATTTGGCTTCTTGCATTTTTTTAGGAGATTATCTGGTTGGAGAAGGGCTTTTCTTAACTACTGAGGGCTGCACATTGTTGGATAAGGACAAAAATATATAGGTAGTCCTCGTTTAGCAACTGCAGTTGGGACTGGCAACTCAGTGGTTAAGCAAAGCGGTCACTAAGTGAAATGTCACAATTTTACAATTTTACTTCACCTTTCCTTTGCTTTACGGACCTGCGAAGGTCATAAATGCAAGGATTGGTCACAAAGTTACTTTTTCAACACCATCGTAAGTGTGAACATTCACTGTACAACATCACACTGTACAAGGCAGTTATTAAACGAGAACTACCTTTCAGTGAGACAGCTCTACCTCTTCAACAATATTTTTTAAACAAGAAAAAGAAAGAAGATACCTATTTAATGTTCAAATTTTAAAATGACATACTGCTCCAAAACTTACTTTCTTTTTCTTCTCAGCATATATATTCTGGGGGTTTTGGTGAATCAACTTATTTACACGTAATTTTGTTCTATACTAGCCTACAAGCTCTCCACAAAAGATAATTTCTTAGCATCAGTTTTGGGGAAGAGAAATCCTATAGGGGTTTTATTCATTTACAACTGTACTGTTGCAGTTACGTGATATGTATACAAATACATTGACTAACTGATAAGTGCGCGTGCTGTGTTTGTGTGTGTCAGATGCTGTTCAGTCAGGACGTTCATAAAAGGTTTGCTAAGCAGGAGCTCTGTGGAATTGCAGTGGCTTCTAAAGACCTTGATAAATTTGAATGTGAGATACAGGAAATGCTGAAGATAGTGGAAAAGCACATGGAATCAAAAGAAGATGATGAAAAGGTTGGAGAACTTCATGTTAAAACGAACTATTACACTGATCACTGGTGTGGGTCTTCTGGGCTGTGTGGCCGTGTTCTGGCCACACTGATCCTTACCTTACACTGGTCCTTACCTTTTCTTTCTTTCTTTCTTTCTTTCTTTCTGTCTGTCTGTCTGTCTGTCTGTCTGTCTGTCTGTCTGTCTTTCTTTCTTTCTTTCTTTCTTTCTTTCTTTCTTTCTTTCTTTCTTTCTTTCTTTCTTTCTTTCTTATTCCCAGGCATGACTTTTAATCTGGAGTCCCGTGACCTAGAGGCCTATTGGCAACATTGTAATTCACTTGCTGCATGCCATAAATATTGATCTTGCTTGTATCAGCTGTTTCACTGTTGCTGTCTTCCTGATGACTTTATCCATTCAGTTCTACATGTGCAAGGGGTTGTCTTGTTTAATTATGATAAAATGTATGGTTGTGTCATACTTGAAATCATGCTTTTGGAAACTCATCCTTTTTCAAATGCTTTCTTGTCATTCCAAGCCCTTGGCAGAATTTGCAGCATGTCTTCTTTCTGCACTACATCTATTATACTGGAAGCATAGGCTGGGTAGGAGACGTTCAACAGTGATTTTCCCCTAGCTGCTGTTGTTCCTCCTGGACAGTGCTGGAATGGGCAAGAGTTGCTGTATCAATGCCTTATAGTCTAAGGCTTAGGAAGCTACTTCTGCAACAAAGGGAGGAGGAGATATAAATATAGATACAGAAAATTAGTATTAGATTAGATTAGATTATTATTTTAATGTCTGGTATCTTCACTAAAGGCTGTTCATTTTGTTTTGCCACACAACTACATGTTGCAAAGTCAGTGATTACAGTGACCTAAGAATTCACAGCAAAATATGAATTCACTGATTCTTTACACAGGATAAAACTCTAATATACATTAGAGTTCTGCATTCTTCAAAGCTGATTCTGAGGAAGTACTTCAAAACTCATGCAAACACAGCACCTCTCTGTTTTTGTGCCAGTCCAGAAAAAGGTGACTGCTTTAAAGTAGTGATACCCTTTTTTTTTTTTCAATCTTGTGCATGGTTCCTCCAATGAATAGCAGAGAGATGCTGTGCTTGTGTGAGGTCTGCAGGACTTTTTCTGAATAGTTTTTGAAGCATGTATAGCATGCACAACCGTGTTATACATGTTTTCCTGTACAGTCTTACTCTTTGGGAGTAACAAAAGCCAGTTGCCTCAATTATTCCTGAAAATATATCTTGTGCTTTTAAAATTGTAGCTGGATGAAGAAAGAGCCCAAATTGAGGAGGTTCTGCAAAAAGGTGAGCATCTGTTACAGCAGCTCATGGAAGATAACCAGAGAGAAAAAATCCGTTTGCAGCTCCTCCTTCTGCAGACCAAGCAAAGCAGCGTAAAGGTCAGTGAAAGTAGCATTGCTGTACAGTAAGACTACATTGTCTTAGACATGGCTTCCTCCTTCTCTCCACTGTAGCCTTAAAGATACCTGAAGAAGCTCACTCTTGTCCATGAGATATATATAATCCACCTTTTTACCTGTTCCTTTCTAGTATTAATTTTACGATCCTTCCTTTCGGGCTGTAGGAGCTTCGGTCATTACAAAGGAGGCAGGTGGCTGAACTTTCACCCTCATTTACTCAATATCAGATGGAACCAGAGAGTCACTTGCAGTGGCTCAGTGAAACAGATACATGTCTTTCTGGCATTCAAGAAGCAGAAGAGGAGAAAATAAAGGTAAATCGCTTTTACTGTGAACCATCGAGTTATATAATTTTTCAGTAATTTTGTTCCTAATAGTTCCCACTGTCTAGCCCAGTCTTTCCAAACTGGTACTTCCAGATAGGATGGACCTCAACTTATTATTTTGACATGCTGTCTGGGAATTATGACTTGAAATCTATCATGCTTAGGTTGCATAAGGACCACCTGCTTTGTGTTGCTAGTAATATAATAACTTGCCAATTCAGTTCCAAACTAATGATTTTTACTTTGATAAGGATAAGAATACTGTTCCCCCCTTTGACTAATTAGCTTACTCTGGGGGTAACATACTTGCCTTCTCCAAGTCTTATGAACCTCGAATAAAGAAATGACTTTTAACGGCCTTGCCAGAATGTCTGAACCAGACAGATAGGGTTAACTATGGCAAATCAAAACTGTGATTGATACAACCTGGTAGTATGCTGTACAGGGCTTTATAAGTAATAACTAGTACTTTAAATTGGGCTCAGAAGCTAATAGGAAGACATTACAATCACCTCAGAATTACTGAATAATTGAACATTTCTAGAACTGAGCTATATGGATTTCCTGTCCCCCATGGACATGAAATACATTGGCCTATAATAGGAAGCAAGCGTGGATTATAAAAGCTTTCTAAAGCTCATCTTTAACTAGACATAAGACCATAACCTAAGCAGTGCCATGCTGGACTGGAAACCTGCCCCATCTAGTCCAGCTGCCACTTCTCCCAGTGTTCAACAAACTGCACAAGGAGTTCACACTGCCACCAAAACTCATTGCCACTGACCCCCATGACTTCCATGAATTGGTCCAAATCTTCACCCATCTTCTTCATACATTCAAAGATACTCCCAACTGATTATGACCATAGAAAAGAGGTAAGTTTTAGCTAGGTTTTGGTAATTAAGAGGTTGGATAAGCCTTAGTTCAAATGAATCCCTGAAAAGACACTATTTATAGTATTTTTGTTTGGATTTTATACTGTTTACCAATGAGTCACATATTTTTGAAAATATTATTGATTGTAATAGTGATTTAGGAGAGAGATTCCTACCTGCTGAGAAGATGTTGATAACTACTTTAAAGAGCTCTTTCAATAATTCAAACATATATACAATGACTTTTCATTTTCTGTTTCTAATGGATCCACTTTTTTCAGATCCTTAGTCTGCCATAGGATTTGTTTTACGTTTATTTATGTAATGAGCCTTGTGGAGCAGTAAGTAATTTTTTGGACAGGCTTGTGTATTAGGCAATCTGTCAAATCCTTTTGCATTATTGGTTATGGAGCTTTATAATTAAATTAATATTTTTATGACTCTTCTGTAACTTGTAAATCTAAAACCAATTGAGGATGAGATAAAGGAATGTTAAAATCTTAAAATGAATCCTGTGTAATATAGAATAATAATGCTCTATTTGACAGTAGCTATATGCATTTTCTTTCTATGGGGCTAACAGGAGCCTGGAAAGAGGTGATTTTGATCAGGAAAGTAGCACGGAAAGAATGTGCTGAATGTTTCTTTCTTCAGTGTTGCTACTGTTGTATAGATGGCCCACCAGTCCTATTAAATTAGAAAACCCCACATAAGTTGTGATCCTCAAGGACGTTTAAGAAAAATAATTGGTCTTGAGTGATTTGCATCACGTGTGTTTAAGGGAGACTTCCCCAACTTGGGAGCATCTTTCAAATGTGTGGACTTCAACTTTTAGAATGTGTCAACCGGTGTGGCCATTGATGAAAATTCTGGGAATTGAAGACCACACAACTGGCAGATGCAAGTTGGGGAAGACCCATCAACTTTCATTTAAAAAATCATGTTGAAAATGGGCACTGCAACATAACAATACAAACCGTGGCATTTTGTACTTGCATCCCAATATCAGCTGCAGGTATATAAGTTATGGGATTTATGACATTTCATCACAATGTATGTTTTGTTACTTGTCCATTTCCTGTCTTTCTGGATATTGTTCTGAACTCTGGAGTATTTAGTTCCTATGAAAGGAGTGGAATTGCATGGAACCCCTCTTTGAAGAACAGTGGGAGTATATATTGAGATGTAGTATCTATTGGCTCACTGAGAAAAGATGAATAATTATTCCGAAAAGTATCCATTTTTGTCTGGCCTCTGATTACTTTATTCTGCAGAGCTCAACTCTCCAAAAGTCCCATAAATGTTAGGTTAAATGTTAAAACCCTCCTCTTTTAGGATAAGTATTAAAAATTGCTTAGCTGAAGGATAAGAGTGGGTCACCTCCATTCTTCATTGATTTGAAGATCAATTACACAAAGTGGGCAATACAGATAATTTGCTATCCAAAAGTGACTTAATTAGAATTAGAATTAGATAAGGCAGGGACATTGTCCTGATTTCCATTCCCTTGAATATCAGGGAATGTCCTTTACATTTACAGAAATGTAAAGAATTCATCTGTTAAGTTGAAGTATATGTGAAGCCACCCAAAGTTTTTATTATTATCTTGGTATCTCCCAGTTGAAGTGTGTGTGTGCGTGTTCTCTCTCTCTCTCTTTCTCTCTCTCTCTCTCACACACACACAGACTCTTGATTGTCCCAACTTTCTTTTCTGTTTCAAAGGCATTTTATTTCAAGGGATCTAATAAATTATATTTTTTCCCTTACGTTCTGAATTGAACCTTGACCAGGGGTTTGAGTTTATCATTAATCTTTCCTGTTTGTCACCTACACTGTGCCAAACAATTGATCAATATTGCAACTGTCTAAGATTTTACTATTGGGGATCTTAATGACCTTCATTCTGCAGTGGACTCCAACAATGTAATTCAGAAAACAAATAAATCACTTTTTTTGTGCCAGGATTTGACTGACCACATTTTAGAAATGTGCCAATTGGAGATTTTTATCTAGTTCATTGCCTCTATTTTATCTAGCAACCATTTCTAGCTAATCTGAACTCCTTGCAGGAAAGGTAAGATGCAATGTTAATTAATAGAAGCCATAACTATGTATCTTGTTGAATGAATGACCTTGTGGGATCAGGGTAAGATCCATCACCTCCAGTGTTATATTTCCCACAGCTGTTAGCCAGATACTCCTGGAAGCTCAAAAGCCATGGCATAAAGGTTAGCGTCTATTATTGTTTATTACCAGTATCTGGGCTTCCAAATCTACAATTAGATAACGTTTATAATGTTATAAAACTTGGCTCTCCAGAAATCACACCCTAAAAAGGGATAGGGTCACGCATGCTACGGGAGCCATGATTCAAAGTGCTTAATTTGAGATCTAATCCTTTCATTAGTAGCTATGGTATAGGAGCCCCCTAATATTATATCTCCAGTCTGTTCTGTTAACCAAAGAAGCGGTTAGCTAGATAGAGCACTGGTGAATCACAGTGTTGGTGATATTACTATGTGATTTGCTTCTTTTCAAGTATCATTGAAGTGGCATGGAGACAGAGGATGACAGTATTTTAATTATGTACTTACTACAAGTCAGAAACAACTAAAAGAGCAAAATTGATTTAAAAATGGAAATGAAAAGTAAACTAACATTTGCTAGCCAAAATTCAGACAGAGTTTGGTAGCAGCTTTTGAAACTAACAATTTTATTTAAGGCATAAGCTTTAATGAACTGCAGCTCATTTTGTCAGATGCGTGAAGTAGCTTGACTGATGTGGGATTTAAATACCTTGGGATGGGGAGGGGAGGGGAAGACAGAATAGTTGTGCAGATGGAGTTCCTTGGCATCAGCTTAAGCCTTAAATAAAAGTGTTGGCCTCAAAAGTGCTACTTTTTTGCTATCATAGATTAATCATAACTTTCTACATTTGCTAGATGCATTCAGGCAGAGGTAGGATTGATATTTGGAATCACATGCAAACATTGAACAACAGATCCAAATGCATATTGATCAATGAATTTTCATTAGTTTTATTATGAAAATGTAATATTTTAATAAAATAAAATGAAATGTAAGACCTTACACAGAAGGCATTTGGTATATGTTATTTTGGATTTCCTTATGCATTCATTTTAATGTTATGTATTTAAATAAGAATGGAAATTTTTATTTGATACTACTGAGAAAGTATTTGTGAAATGTATTTAGTTTAATTTTTTATCCCAATTTACTAGACTATATAACTTAAGGGAATCCACTGATTTCAATAGTAATATTTCCAAATGTATTCTTTTGGGGACTAAATAATAGGCTTGCAATCTCTTCCTCATAAATATGCAATGAATACTTGGTTCATATACTATGGGTGGATATATAAATAGGTCCTTGTCCTGTGACCACTGTAGTATTCTGAAAAGCCACTTAGTGAACTGGAAACTCTGGTCCCAAAACATCTGGAAGGTACTTGTTTAAAGAAAGACTCCTTTGGATGTAAGTACTGTTGTAATAGGTCTTGAAGTGTATATGAGTCTTTGTATTACCTAAAGATGATCAGAATGTGTATATATATATACATTTCAGAAGGTATCCAGAATCCTGAACATGTGGGGTGTATAGGTGGAGATAATCTTTTCCCCTTTTTTTTTTTAAAATGTAACTGGAGCTCCTTAACTGGAAAAGGATATCATTGCTTGATTGGAATATTGCTTCATAATATTATATACTTTCTTATTTATTGATTTACGTAGGATATATTTAGAAGCTAAGCAAAATGATAAGAGGAATTAATTCACTGATCTAGCCACAGCGGAAATACTTCCTTGTAATTATAACGTAGCACCATCTGAAGAATTATTTAATTAAAAATAGAATTATATCTTAAGGTTAGAATATAATGGAAATGCAAATAAATGAACCTTTGTTTTATTTTTATAATAAGGTTAGTTTTAAAGAATTAATTAACTGAAGCTTATTTTGCTTTAGGAAACCCCACAGAGGATTCAAGGGCCTCATTCATCAGTGATCAGGGAATCTCCATTCCCTGCAGAATACCTTGTTGAAATTAACAAGATTTTGCTGGTTATAGCTGATGCTGAGCTCTTGCTAAATGCTCCAGAACTTCATTCAGCAATCTATGAAGATTTTTCTACTCAAGAAGATTCATTAAAGGTACTAGAAACTTAAATCTAATACTAGGATTAAAAGACCATTAACATTCTTCTCAATAATTTTTAAAACTCTGGTACATAATAATACATTTCAAGATACTTTCTGACTTTAAAAAACTGGTTCAGCCTTGTTATGTCTTGATTTATAGCCATCTCTGCCTAATTTTTCTAGAATCATCACCAATCCAATCACTTCTTAGATTCAGGACATATAAATTATTTCATTTACTAAAACTAAACACTGATCTTTTTAAAAAGCAACATAATAGCTCAAAAATGAATGGGAAGAAATTAGATAGACCATTGTGAAGTAAGTTATTAGAAAGTTGTATTGGGCCAGATCAAACAATACTAATACACACATTTATACACACACACACACACACACACACACACTTATAAGGATGCACATCCTGTATCCTATAAGGCTAAGATTGCACTTCTCATTACTGGATTCTTCCATTTCATTCTTAATATACTCTCTAATCTGGGAGACATGGTCTGGCTTCCAAAATCACTAAGACCATTACTGTTAACTCTTGTTTTTGTTTTAGCTTTAATGATCTAGTTTGCTCATAGCATTGAGTTGTAATGGATGGCTTCAGACATCATGCTGAAGCAAAAGCATCCAAACATTTATGACTTACGTGTGTGCATCATTCTAAGCCATAAGCCAAGTGATGAAAGATGTAAATACATATACTGATGTTTTTTGCCATCTAATCAGGCTCTATTTTTCCAGCTGGCATTTATCCTTGAGGGGATGCTAATTCTGCCTGGTATTTTTGTTTTACCGTATTACAGAATATAAAAGATATGTTGGATAAATTGGAGGATCAGATTGCAGTTATTCATGAAAAGCAACCTGATGTTATACTAGAAGCATCTGGACCTGAAGCTGTTCAAATAGAAGATTCATTAACCCAACTTAATGCAGAATGGGATAGAATTAATAGAATGTACAATGACCGTAAATGGTAAGTAAAAGACTGCCTATGTTTTGTGCTTACAATTTTTTACCAAGAAAATGTGATGAGTTAGGCAGTGGAGAAGAAAATAACTCAGGGAGTAGGCATGTTATAGCTCCACCCTTTCTGCAATATAAACTATCTGTGCTAAGCTTGGACGTAAACAGGGTAACATTTTAAAACGTTATTTATAAAACATTATTTATTTGCCAAAGTTACTTAGCAAATGACAAGTGTATGCTAGCAAGCAGGGATCCCAGAACGGTTAAGTCAGGAGGCACGAGGAAACCATATATTAAGCATGAAAATTAAAATGGCATCATGTTCATGACTATGAATAGACTTGAGGGGAGAAAAACCTTGACTCCTTTGTCCTCAGCCTGTTTGTCTCTGCAAATTACAAAGCAAACCAGTTGCTGCATCTTAGACATTTCTGTCTGTGTCTTTCAACATTTGCTACAACAGAAGATTGTCTTTTTGTTTTGTGTTTTTTTGCTAAGAGAAATTCTAGGCAGCTGAGACCTCTGTTTACTAGCATTTCTGTTAAAGTCACAAGAATTTGGGCCAATTATTTCATGAGAGTATAGGAATCTATACTCTTTTAATTGCACTTTCAATCTTGTTCCCTATAGTTATGAAGGCAACATCTATAGAATCGCATCACCATTTGAGCCTGTTTTCGAAAACAGTTTGGGGTAATATCACTCTTTGTGCACTTCAGGCATTAGAAAAAATTCCTCCTCAGTACTTGCAGACGTTTGTGCTGTGACTAGATTTGAAGCCCCATCATTTATTTGGAAACTCCAATTATCTTATTAAATTAACAATTAAGCAGGCAAACGTTCCCATTTAAAAGAAAAATTAAACTTCACAGTTAATTGGTGAAATACAACAGATTTCCTAGCTGATTTATTGGAGGGTAAGGCAGTTCTTGAAACTCATAAATAATGTACCTTATTTTGCATTGTACTTAAAAGTAAGTAGGCTTCTTTAAAGCCAAGATTTTAAAGCCAAGACTGGTATGAATAAGTCTTTTGTAATACAGAAGGGTTCTCCTGCCAGCTTGGGGCACAAAAACAGTTTGGCTCAGTTGTAGCTATACCCCACAACTGGGAATAGAAATATATCTCTAAACAATATATATTGTGTTTTCTATGTGGAATACAAATGTCCTCCTATTTTTCCTTGTTAGGAATGTTTTGTTGCAGAAATTGTTACAGGAAGAATCGTTTTTTTCTGCCGTAATGACCTGAAAATTGTAATGTCTCCTTTTCCCCCCTGGAGCAGTGGAACAATTAGGTGGAACAATTAGGTGTCTCTAGGCAAGATATCCTCAAGGCTTTCCTGCAGTTTCTCCTCTTGTTACAGTGGGGTTGTCCACTCCCCCCCCCCCAGTTGCTCTGCTTCCTCTCCTTAATTGATAGCTAATATCAGGAAGGATCTTTTTCCCCTCCTTCCTGTGTTCTTTTTCTTGCCAAGCAGTGGACACTTATGACTGGTAAAGTAGTTCCCCTGGAATGAATGAAGAAGTACTTCACAATACTCCTTATGAAGCAGAAGTGGGGGGACAGATGGAGCAAATACTGGAGTTGCTATGCTCACATTCTTCCTGTCTTCACTAGCTTACTTAAAAATTCTTGGGAAGGAAAGGCCTTCCCTCAAATTAAAAAAGAAACCAGCCAAGTACTGAAGCTGTCTCAGCTGATGGTTGGCTAAGCAGTACATCTAACACAAAATTATAGGAGGAGGTGGAAGAATAAGAGGGGAAACTATCTTGATGCTTTCTGGTAAGGCAGATTGGAAATTGTAATGGAGGCATATCAGTTGCTTGCCTTATCAGGTAGCGTTGAGAAGAATTTTCTTTTAGATCCTGTGGAGCCAGACAAAGTGTCTCTTGATATCAGTCATGGGCACCTATCTCTAGTATTGTTTCCTGGAAAGGGGTAATAGCAGATACACTGAAACACTCCATTGATCAGCCTGCTTGCTATAGTAGAAGGCTTTCTTTTTGAAGAAGACGACATTTTCTGGTTTTGGTGATTATTGGGATCACTGTCTAGTTTTAGCTTGTTACCATTTGCCTGGAAATCTGGCAAATTGCATCACTGCTCTGAAGTGGCTGACATCTCATGTTTGGATTGCACTTGGAAAAATGTGCTGCATAAATATTCATACATTCACATATTCATTTTAATTTTTATCTGAAATTTAGCTGTATGGGGAATGAACAAGGGTCAACTCTGTGGCTGAATCTGTAAAATTGATTTTTTTTCCTGGAGTTTCGGTTTGCAGAACTAGCTGATTATGATTCATGTGTCCCAAAGTTATAGTTGGTCTTGGTACATTTGCTTCAAAGTAGGCAAACTGATTTTGAGTAGGAATTAAATCTTGTGTAGGTTGCTTGTATGCTTATGCACTCTCTTTCTGTTTTTATATGAGTTTGAAATGATAGAAATTATAAATGGATGGATCAAAACTACAAATAGTGCTTCCTTTAAAGTTGGTCTTTAAGTATCTTTGCTTTACACACAATAAACCAAATTATCTGCCAAGATTGCATCTGTTGTCTTCTACATATGCACACGCACTCACACGCACATTCTGTTTTGCAGGCTTACCATGTATGCATTCTGTAGTGCAAGATTATCTTGTTCTACTTTTGAAATATTGTTCGCATTTTTCTCCTGTTCTTATTCCATTCAGTTGTTTTGATAAGTCTGTAGAGGAGTGGAGACAGTTCCATTGCGATTTGAATGATCTCTCACAGTGGCTGACAGAAGCAGAAGGGTTGCTGGCTGAAGGCCACTCTCCAGATGGCAGCCTGGACATAGAAAAAGCCAAAATACACCAACAGGTAACCGATTACTGGGTATTAAGCCCACCACTTGAGTTAGAGCCTTTAATTCTAGTTTTGTCGTAGAAGCAAGTAGCAATTGTCATGTTATGTAATGTCGGCAGCTAGGACTTGTGCAAAACATTTGAAGGGCTGCTTTGCAAAGTGTATTATTGGTGCTGCCTGCAAAGCTCAGTGCAGTTGCTTCAAGGGTTTGTGCATGTACTCTATGTGCACTGATAACACTTCTGTGGAGACTGCCATTAAATCAAAGGGGCTGCCTTTGCGTTTCAAGGGGAAGGTTGTGTCATCACACTTTGCTTGAATGCGTTGCACAGCCCTATTTAAAACAAATAAAAATAAACCACATGAATTGTATTGAGAAATTATTTACGTAGTTTCCAAAGATGTCGATAAAACAAATATAGTGAGTTTAAGAAGTAAAGAAGCCAGTGATCTCATTTCATTTTGGGAGGGGCACTATACTAAACACGCTTACTAGGATTTAAGTCCTGCTGTTCTAGAGCAAGCATTAAATCTGCTGCTGAGAAAGTCTTGCTCCTAGTAGAGGCAACTGTATCGTTCACCTCAAATGAAATTTAGGGCAGTATCTTTATTTTGCGGAGATGAAGTTTGTGTGTGAGTGAGAGGGAGAGTGCATTTGTATTAGAGGAAAAGGTCTTTGAAATATTAGAAACTCAAATTTAATACTTGAGAGAATTGAAGAGAAGAAACAGTATATTGGGCTTTGCTTAGAAGCAAATAGGCAGCCCTTCGCAGTAAGGGACACCTGGGACCCAAACTGATGGTCCTTACTACTAGGTGGTGCTTCTCAGTGTTTTTTAAAAGCAACCCCACATATATTAAAGAACAGGAGGTCCAGTCCAGGTGCACAAACAGCAGTTGCCAGGAAGCCATCTTCTTGCAGCAGATGTAACAGCTGATACAGATATTCTGGGTCAAAACTGAAACCCAAATAGAAGCCACATAAAGGAAATATGACATATGAATATGTTTTTTATATATATATATATATATATCCTTTTGTTGAATATCATCTAATTCCAATCTTCTCTGACTGTTAAATAATCAAACTTTTTGTTTGGTTTCAATGTGAAC